TTGTCTGGGTTATTTAATCTCGCTTCCGCTTGTCTTTATCGTTGGGTGTTTCGTTTGGGTCGGCGACGCGTCCTGGGACGTCGCGTTTAAATACGACCGTCGAAGGGGTGTCGCGAGCCCGTTGGGGTTCGGGGCATGACATAAATTTTAGCTAATAATTTAGAATTAATTACATAGAAAATTAGAGACTAGTTTTAGCTTCTAAACAAAAATAATTAAATTACATAGCATATAATTTCAGGAGCATTCATCATATAGCTTAATTGCATTAGATCGGCGACGGTGAATGGACCTGAATTGATCACGTGGACTTGGCCCACACTTGGAACGAGCATTTGGCCAGCATTACGGGGCAGTGGCCAAAATTTCAAGCCTAGAAATAAGGGGTATTGAGCTTTAATCGAGTTGGGTTTAGCCCATAAAGTTAAAAGGCTTTGAGTTTAATTAGAATAAGCCCTTAAGAGATTAAAGCCTCTCAATAATCAAGCCCACAAGAGGCCAAATTTCGGCCACTTTGGGAACAAGAGCCAGCCGAAAATCCAAGGGAGAGGGGCCCTTAGTTGGCCTAATCTCAGCTTAATTCAACCCACTAAAAGCCTAATTAGAGGGAGGCCTTAGGTTACCAATGTCACATCCTCACCTCGGGGTTATTAATGCGATGTTTCAAGCGCGTCACCGTCCCGTTTCTTTTATCTTCTTACTAAGAGCATGACGTCCCGTTCAATTTTATCTTATCATTACGATCAAGCGGGAGCATAAATTCGGGACAATCAAACAAACAACGGGGTTAATACAAACGCCATGAGCAAACCTTATATTTACAGGATGGCATATTTATTACATGAGTGTATTCTACAAGCCCCTTTCTATGGGCCTTTTTCCCTTTTCAACACACTACATGTATCCGCGTAGGCTTAGGGAAATTCCTATCTCCTCTAGCATATGACTACAGCTCCCAAAACTGGTGTGAAACTTCCATGCCTACAAATATGAAAAACAACGGAGTGAGTCAAGGACTCAGTAAATAAAACTCACTAAACTCCGGATAGGAGGACGCCTCGCCATCGAACTAAGCACATGTCATAGCCACATAAATTGATAGCAGATCAATAGCAAAGATGCTTCAAACATACTCATTTTTGTGCATAAGATGATAACACTTGTCTTTTTATTCAAGCAACAACATCTCAACCAAAAGCATGCACACGAGGGATTTATTATATCAACCGTTGGTACGGTTCTTTCGGAAATTTTTCGGGCAACATCCCCTGATCCAAGGGTGACGACTTTTCATCCGAACTTAATCGGGCAACGTCTCCTATTCAAGGGCGACGGCTATTCATCCGAAATCCATCTGGCAACATCCCCAATCAAGAGCGACGGCTATCCTTTTCCCTCGTGCGACCATGCCAACAAGTATTATACCAACTTGAGTACTTCATACGAAGTGTGTACCATGCCATGTTGCCTCTAAAGTCTTAAGTCATGCCGGGCACAAAACCAAGCTCGTGGCCCGAACCGACCGGTCATGGCGCCGACCTACACCAAGCAAGGCTTGGATTAGTACACCTCAATACCGACCCTTCAAGTAAGGCTCGTTCTGACACGCCTCTACGCCAATTCGAACCAAGCGAGATTCATTCTTGGCCCATAGCGTGCTTTCACACATGACACCGAATACATGAGCAAACCTTACAAAATGCATAAATATGCGTGGCAAGCTTATATCAAGCAATCACAAACCACGAGATTCACGTAAGCACAAAAATAACATAACTCGCCCAATAACGTAACACAACACCTTTGCCAACGTTTAGTAAGTCTACCTACTACCCTCCAAGGTCGTGATCGTGTGTGGCCTAGGGGTAAGCCGAGCAGCAAGGGGCGTGGCAAGGACACGGCGAGACACGGGCACGGAAGCGGCAAGGGCGCAGCTGAGATAGAGAGGGCGGGTCAAGAGAGAGTGCGGGCGTGAGGGAGAGAGAGAGAGAGTGGTGATGGTGGAATGAGAAATGAAGGAGTTGTGCCTCTATTTATAGACCTCTTGCCAACTTATTAGGGAAGCAACTTGCTAGGGAAGTCATCGTGCCAATTTGCTTGGTAAGCAACTTGCTAGGGAAGTCATCTTGCCAACTTGCTAGGTAAGTTAGCCAAGCCAACTTGCAAGATAAGTTTTTATCATTAGGCAACTTACAAATGAAGTTATCAAAGTTCTATTATTGGGCAACTTACAAAAGAAGTTGTCAATAATTCCATTGACTTGCCAAGCCAATTTGTCCTCTTGCCTATGAAGTCTTTTGGGCGTGTGATCCTTGTACCTCTCTCTCAAGAACTTCCAATAATTGGTAGCTCTCACTAACTCTAATGGTCCATCCTCCTTTGAGCACTAAACTTCATTAATGCTTAACTTACTAAGCAAATTAGAACCATCAGGGGTTTTATGTGCCATGCACGATCGACCCTCGTATTTGGAACCGAGGTTCGAGGCTAAATAGCACCCAAACACGATCGGACCAAAATCTGAAATGACTAGGTACAAGGCCTATTCAGCCAAGTCTGACTGGGCACAAAGCCAGGATGGACGGGCGCTGCGTTGGGCGCATGGCCTGGCCTGCACGAGCATTGAACCCGACACATGGCACGGGCAGGGGGCTTGTGCTGCACTGGCACGAGGTCTGTGCGGCACGGGCGCAGAACTGGTCCACGATCGGCACGGGGCCGGGCACATGGCCAATCCTAACCGGCACATGGCTGGTCCATGGGCTGGCATGGGGCCTGATCCATGACTCCTCCATGGCCTTTCCCGATCCACCGTAATGATCCATGGCCAATTCGCGACCAGTCCATGTTTGAGTATCAACGATCCATGGTCGACCCTCGGTTATCATGTAGTTGTGTGGAATCGATTCGCGACCAACGCACGGCCGCTCGGAGTCGGTCTATGGTCGCCCGCGATCGGTGCATGGCTGAGCGGAATCACCCACGATCGACACATGTCTGCGTGGCATCGATCCATGACCGCCTGTCGATCAACTCGGTACGCGATCATCCCACTGTTGACTCTTATGGTCAAACGGTCGATCCGTGGTCGATCACTCTGATCTACTTGTGTGATTGGGAAGCCGGTTCACCGTCCATCCTTTGGTTGCCCGTTCCGACCAAACAGCTTGATCCTTGGCCGACCCTCGAGTTGGTCTACATACCAATTCCCTATCTATTTCTCTTGGTCGACCCGAGGTCCGAAACGTGGATGTTACAACTAAAGTCCATCAATTTATAAGGCCAAATTGAAAGCCCGCAAGAAACCTAGGTTTGTGTTATAAATAAGACGTTATGCCTCATAATTTGAGGTCGATAAAGCAGAAATTCAAAACACGTTGAGAGAATACAAGTGAGAATAGAGAGAGAGAGACTCCACGGTCGAACCCTTCACCACCACCTCTATTGCCTAGCCGCAATTTGCTGCACCGACGATGGTCCTCCAAGCTGCTCACCGCCGCGCCTAATTCTCGGCCTAGACCCTGGCCAGGCGGCTAATGCTCGCTTGACTGCGACGACAAGCTGCTTCCTTGGTTGAGCCGAGATGCCTTCAGCTGCCCTGCACCGCCCACAATACTGCGTCATGATCCGTCGTGCTTACACCTGCACCTATGAGGGCCTATTGTTGTTCCACCGCTCGCGTCAACGTTTGCTGCCTTGCACCGCGAGCCAACCCATTGAATAGCTGCTGCCCCGAGATGCCGACGCTGCTCTGCTGCTCCAGCGACAATCAATGATTGCACCTGGTTGCTTGCCACCGATCCCGACCTGAACCGCAACTGAGCTATTGCCCTGCCGCGACTTGCATTCATTGTTGGCATTCCTTCCTCAACCTTGAATTGTTCTGATTTTATAGGATTTGCTAAGGAGCTCCGTCAAGCCACCACTCCGAGCTGTTGCCGCACCACCAAAGCCGCGAGCCGGTCGCGGCCCAAGAGCTTCGAGTCCAGTCGTATGTGATCGCGGCCAGCCTCGCCGACTCCCTCACTTGGCCATTATAACCGAGATGACCGATAGCATCCCTTGCTGCGACCCCCACCTTTGACTGACTATCGAGCGCTGCAAGCCACCACCGGTCACCACCACTTGACATCCGCTGTCTGTCAATTTCAAATTTGGAAGTTATCGGCGAAATAGGTAAAATTCTTATCTAGAATCAATTTGAATATTTTATTGCCTATTTTGTGCTTATCGACAAATATTTTGACTAACAGGCATTATTGATTATGACTTATTTTTTAATCCATGACGCGACCAAATTAGGATATTGATTTAATTTGCGGAAATATCAAGTTGATTAGATAATATTCTTTATTTAATTGATTGGATGCTTATCATTTATGGTGGATGATATCTTGATTGATTTGAATGTTTTAGCTTTGATTGCTTTCCTTATCTACAAAATACAAAAGATTGCATTTAGATTAGGATAGGATTTTTCGATAGCATTGCTTAGTTTAAATAGATTGCATGTTAGGGAATATTCTCTAATAAAATTAGAATATATTTCAAATAAAGTTTTCCTTAATAGATTGGATAATTTAGATAACATCACATGATTTAGATAGAATACATGTTTAGATAATATCCAGTTGATAGGATAAGGTTTTTCCCAATTGAAATAGGATTTAATCTAAATTATTTCCTAGAACGGATATGATAACCTTCATTTAGAGTAGTTTTTATTTTAGTAATTTTTAATTACGAATTTTAATAAAAATACTAGAAATATCAATGCATGTCATGTAGTTTAGATCATGCCATATTGCTACGTCATATTACTACGTCATGTGCATATCATGTAGTTTGCGTATTAGGTTCACTTAATTAGAAATTGCATGTCATGTAGGTTAGTCTTAATTTTAAGATAAAAGAAAACCCCAAAAAATATTAGATTGCTTTAGTGTGTCTAATTTTTTTCTTGCAATTTGTTTGCTTTGGTAATTGATTGTTATTTTTAATGGTTGGAGAGGCTTCCGGATTCAATCAAGAATTGGGAATCTCTGATTGAGTTGGATATATCCTGGACAAGGATCAAAGAACTGCCTGATTCCATGGGAAACTTGAAAAATTTGAAACTAGTGAAGATGACCGGGAGTTGCATAAGCAAAATACCTGATGCCCTTTGGACAATAGAGAAGCTCGAAGAAATAAAAGCCACAGATAACTGGTGTTTGCTTGTGAAAATTGGCAATGGCATCTATAGAGTTCCGCGGTTGAGGATCTTGAGATTGAAATGTGCTCAAATATACACAATACCGAAGCTTCCCGAAAGTCTTACCGATCTCTATCTGTCTAAATTGGACATGAAGACGTTTCCAGATCTCTCAAACCTAATTAATTTGAAGGAATTGGATCTGAGGTTTGGCCCACGTAATGATGATGTGAAATCTTATGGGCTTGTGGAAGATCCGATGCCATGGTGGATTGGGAAGTTTAGCAAACTAAAATATCTGGGCCTAGAGTGTGATTATGTGACCACCTTACCAACAGATATTAGTCTCCTTCCTCAACTCAAGACACTTGACCTCCACTGCTCTAATCTACGTTGCCTCCCAAGGCTTCCCTCAAGTTTATCATCCTTATTTTTACGCGATTGCATGTCACTTTGTTCGATGGATCTATCGGATTTGGAGAAATTATCATCTCTTATGATTTGGTCTTGTCCAATTTCAGAGATTCGAGGCCTTGATTGTTTGGAGAACCTACAAAAATTGCAACTTTCAGACCTTGGACAAGTGAAGATACTACCTGATTTAAGTGATTTAAACGAACTACGTAGTCTTGATGTACGAAGTTGTGGTAATCTGGTTGAGATTCAAGGCAAACTACCACAATCTTTGGAAGAATTGGAGATTCGTTCCTGTGAATCTTTACGGAAGTTGCCTGATCTGTCAAGCTTGAAGAGACTACAAAAGATTGTCATAGAATATTGCATGGAATTAAACGTAGAGGCAATTCTTTGTTTTGCTCAGAGAAGTCAGGCAAATTTGCGGGAGAACCTACAAAATTTGCGGATTTCTGACCTTGGACAGGTGGAGAAACTACTTGATCTAAGTAATTTAAACAAATTAAGTAGTCTTGATGTACGAAGTTGTGTTAATCTAGTTGAGATTGAAGGCGAACTAACACAGTCTTTGAAAGAATTGGAGATTCATTCATGTGAATCTTTACAAAAGTTGCCTGATGTGTCAAGCTTGAACAAACGGCAAATGATTGACATAGATGATAGCACGAAGTTAAATGTGAAGGCAATTCATGGTTCTGCTCGGAGAAATCGTAGAAGAAGGGCATCTTCGTAGAAGGAGGGCATATTCTTTGAAAGAATCGGAGATTCATTAATGTGAACCTTTACAAAAGTTGCCCGATGTGTCGAGCTTGAACGAATTGCAAATGATTGACATAGATGATAGCACGAAGTTAAATGTGGAGGCAATTCTTGGTTCTGCTCGGAGAAATCGTAGAAGAAGGGCACCTTGGTTTTGAAAGCTTCTTGATCCACGACCATAAATTGATCCCTCATGTTCGAACTTTAAACAAACTAACGTGAGTTATTTTACCTGAAAACGAGTGTTTTCCTTTTTTGCAATCAAATTGTTAACAGATATGGATAGAGAAGTTTCACATGAACATTTTAGTTACCTTTTTGGGATTGGTGTCTGAAATAGTGCTTTTACAATCTCAATAATAGACGCGTCCTCTTAATTAACTCACCAGTGCTTTATTTGAGATTTTCCAAGTCAATGCTTCATGTCCTGTTAATTAAATCTATGCTGATCTGGAGGCAGTTTACAGAGATTTTTCTTTGGTGCAGCAAAGTTAAAGGAAAAAGCTAATGGATCCTGCACTCCACATTGATCTGCTTGTGATCAGTTTATTTTCCAGAAAAGGTGTGCATCTTAGTGGATTTGCAAATGTTATGGAGAAGTTATAAAATGAAGAAAGAGAAATTTCACTTGGGTAGCTGCATTAATAATTAGTGCAGCAAAACTTCCATTTATGACAGGAGAGGAGAACCATGTAGCTTCTCCAAGGTATCATGAATCATCGTATAGTTAAGGCTACATTTTAGTATTATCGGTGCATAGGACATATGGTAAGTCCCGACTTGTATTATCGGTGAATCATCATATATATGAACTTTTCTATGATTCTCCCCTTTATTGCCTACATTTTCTAAAAATGGTTATGACTAGGTGATTACCTGTAATAGAAGCCCTTCCATTCTCCTTAAGTTATACTGAAGGATTTTTTTTAGGTTTTAAGATTGACAAGAAGTGTTAAGGGAGACATCTCAAACAACTGCCTTTTTGTCGGTTTCTGATGTTGCTGAGAGGAATTAAAGTTAGAGAAACTTATAGAGCTCTTTTGGTGTAGGGAGCTGTGGCTACTTGGGTAGCTTTACAAATGTAGACCAAATGAAGGAAGATGAAGGATGACATTTAATGTGAACTATATACCCTTTCACAATCTTGGGGTGGTAAACTGTGCATTCATCTATTGAGAGCCAGAAACTTGAAGATTAGTGAGGGGAAGTCGTTACCTATTGATGAAATCATTAAATCTATTGAACTCGATCTGAAGTTTCAATTGGATGGTTGGCCCTTTTTTTCAGAGAAATCATCATAGCAGGTTAGAGGTATTTATTTTGCAATTTGGGCATCGTAAGTAATGTGTTTGGGGGGTAAAAGGGCTATTTAGGCAAACCAGATTGTTTATTCATCTTTTTTGTGGATGCATGATCAGCTACTAGGCCTAGGAAGAGAAATCACCCGTCAAAATGGTGGCTTGGAAGTAGAGTGGCATGGAAATAGAGAAGCAGAGTAGACTGTGAAATCTCGTAGAAACATTTGAATTGCTGATGAGAAGCAAGGTAAAATTCTGCTATGATCTATTTCCAAGTTCAACAACACAAGTAATATGCCCCTTTAATTTTGCAACATACTTCTGGTACTCTAATTTCTTTAGCACCGTACTCATCTACCACACTAATATTTGACATCCTGTAAAGTCATGAGAGGATTTTTCTGAACCTTTGAAAATAAATGAACTGGAAGTGATGTGTTCTCCTTTTGGCAGTAGAACGACAAAGTCAAAGCTCTCTGTCTCGAGTTTGACCATCGGCGACAAATACCGCCAGGACTTTTGGAGACTTTCCAACCCAAGATTCTCTCAAGCTGATAGTGTAAACTTGCAGGTTGAACTTATGGAAGACCTCCGTGCACAAATGAGGCTTTTTTGGCACAAGATTTTCCTGAAGAAGTCACGTTTCCTTCCCAAATTGTGATGGCGGGTATGACACTCTTCTCATATTCAAAATAACCAATTTTTCTGTGATGAATATAGTCTTTGTCAATCTATCATGGAGCAAAGTTACAGAGAAATGGGATGGTTGGAGCCACATCAAGGTATGATATATGCGGGATATATGCTGTGGAACATCTAGTATACATTGCGTTGTATCTCTATTAGATCCAAATCTTATATTAGCAAGCTCTTTCTGTCGCAGAAGGCAAAGAATCATGGTTCTAACGGGCTGCAAACACTTTTAATAAAACTACGGACTTCTCTCTGCAAGTTAATTTAGAACGATTGACCTGCTGCAATTATGTGAAAGCTTGGTCCAAATTGATGATCCGTTGGTCTGTTGAAGCACTTAGCTTCCTTAAATGTGAAGCATTGCAGGAAACTTCGCAACCTACTGGACAAGCTCGGAAAACTGGGATCTTTAAAGGAACTCCTGATTGATTGCACATCGATACAGAAATCCCTGAATATTAAGCACTGAAGGATCTCAAAATTCTTCGCATCGTTCATCATTGAAGATAATCAATTAAACAACTTCCGTCAACTGGAGCTCTTACAACCCCTGAATACACAAATGCTAGTATTATTACGTTCAAGTGCATTAATATTGTTAATTTACATGATGGCCATTTATGTGTGGTCCTTGGATCTTGCTGGTCTGTACTTTAAATTTGAAGACGATACCCGCGTCTTAAAAAAATTAACTTTGTTACAGCTTAAACAATAAAGGATATAATCAAATGTGTAGGTTTTAATCAGTGATAAAAGCTCTTTCATTCACCTTTTGATTATCCTAAAGGCGCTTTAGGTTTCAACATTGACAAGGAGAATTGTTCCTCGACAAAACTCCTATATGACAGCCTGAGCTTTTTCTCTCGGTAATAAGCGATGGAGTCTTTCTGTACTGGTAAACTATAGCCAACTCAGGCAGTGCGTATAATTGACAACCAGCTGACCAAGTAAAGGAAGTTACGAGTAAGATGGCAAAGCTGTAAATCTTTCCCAACATTTCGGTACTGTACTCGCTTTTTCCGTAATGTACATACTCTAGCTAATCATACAGTCTCAAGTACTTGGTCTCGCACACAATGTGCTTTGAATGGTCATAATTGGCAATATATGCTTTGAAATGACGAAGGAAATTTAGTTTTTCAGGTTTCCACTAATGTTTTTTTTTGGTAACCAGGTTTCCACTAATGTTTTTTTTTTTTATGACCCAGGGAACCCCCGCACGGCCGACAGCCGGGAGGTAAACCCTGGGGGCGACACTGCTAGCCACCACACACGTGCACCGGTTAAGTCACCCTGCGGCACCCGGGATTCGAACACTCAACCTTTTGCGAGAGGAAGAGTGCGCGCTCCAGCAGCGCCACCCAGGCGGGTGGTGGTTTCCACTAATGTTAATTCATACATATCAGAAAAAGAAAGTAAAAGCTTCCAATGCTCGTTCCAAAGGCTGATCAGATCATTGTTACATATCAAAGCCAGATGATATAAATTGTTTACCTCCTAAATGTTAAAATTTAGCAGAGGTTGCCGGTGGAAATGATGCAAGACAAGGTTATCATCTGTTTCCAAGATGGCTTGATTTAAATGTTCATTTGCATAACTCCCTGCCAGTAAACAGTTGTAAGTACTTCTGCCAAGAAGTCTTATGTGCCAATGTGCCTGTAGGAGAAGGTAAAGTCACAGATTGATATGTGCTCTCCCAAGGCAGTCTTTGTTTCACCTTATACAACCGGTTAATTGCCTAACCATGCAAATCTCACAGTTTCAAAATTCACACATCTGCCAATTTTGTGAAGTTCAACACGAGCTCAACCCCCAAAAAAAGGAAAACAGCTACATGATTCAGCTATCAATAGCTCAGCTCAGCATCCACGCATCCTTATTAAGTCTGGTAAACAAAGCCACGTGCCCAAGATTAGATTGACAGGTAAACTTGCGACATTCAATAGAAATCATGTTGTATTTACATGGATGACACATTCAACTTCGTGCTAATTACATTCAGAGCGAATGTGAGTAGAGCTCCTATGCATCTTGTGATGGAAATGGACAACAGATCTACGGAATGCATTTCGTGAACAAACTACATCATAGAGGTCCCTGATGATCTTTGAGAAACCGGCTGCTGACCCAGGAGCATTTTAACTGAAGTTACTATTGGCATCGGACTCTGAATGTAGTTTCAATGTAGAAGATTTCCTTTGACAACGCAGCCTCAATGCAGAAGCAGAAGGATTCCTGGAAAGCATAAGATTTCCTTTGACATCTTCACCTCCATTTTCCTTCAATTGTGCGTCCATGACGATTTTGCACAATCGCCATGTCTCAGCCATTAATTCCACACCATAATAGACTAAATGGTCCGCAATGCTTTTACAAGTTGCCGATCTACAGAAACACACTCACATTAGTTGTCTGCAGATATTCCTAGTAACAAAGGACTGACATTTAGAACAAGCTGGTCTGTCACATGACTTATTGCATCTATCATGATTGAACAGAGAGAAAAACAGAATTACTTAATTGTGATTATAGGGTTACAAATATATACGTGCTTAACCCTACTCACAAACTAGATTACTATTCTACCCTTAATATTCACAATATTTCTCAACACTCCCCCTCAAGTTGGGATGTAGATATCAAATAATCCCAACTTGTTACATAAAAAGCTCACTCTATTCCCCCGTAGAGATTTAGTAAAAATGTCTGCTAGTTGATCTTCCGTCTTTGTGTGCTGAAGAATAATCTCGCCTTTTTGAACTTTTTCTCGCACAAAATGACAATCAACCTCAATGTGCTTAGTCCGCTCATGGAAGACGGGATTAGATGCAATATGAATAGCGGATTGATTATCACAATACAGCACTGATGGAGTTGACGGTGACATTCCAATCTCTGATAGTAACATCCTCAACCATACTAATTCACTTGTCACATGTGCCATAGCTCGATATTCAGCTTCAGCACTTGATCGGGAAACAACATGCTGTTTCTTGCTCTTCCACGCAACTAAATTGTCTCCCAGAAACACACAATAGCCTGAAGTAGATCTCCTATCCATAGGACATCCAGCCCAGTCGGCATCAGAGAAGCCTGCAGTGTTTAGATGACCAGAATTCTTAAACTATAGTCCTTTACCTGGTGCTCCCTTCAAATATTTGACAATTCGAAGCACAGCATCCCAATGAGTAGTATGCGGAGAAGTCATGAACTGGCTTACTACACTAACGGCAAAGGATATATCAGGTCTTGTGATGGTAAGATAATTTAACTTACCAACTAATCTCCGAAACTTCGCTGAATCATGTAATAATTCTCCATGTTCTGCGTCAAGTTTTACATTGGGATCCATAGGGGTATCAACTGGCTTTGCTCCAAGAAATCCAACCTCACTAAGAATGTCAAGTACATACTTCCGTTGCGATAAATTGATACCAGCATGTGAGTAGGATACTTCAACACCAAGAAAATATCGAAGACGTCCCAGATCTTTAGTACTGAATTTTACATGTAGGAATTGCTTAAGCTTTTGAATACCACCTGAATCACTGCCAGTAATGATGATATCATCCACATATACAACTAGAAGGATACAACCAGCTGAAGAGACAGAGCTGAAAACTGAATGATCTACCTGACACCGCTTTAATCCAAATTTGATAACCACATCACTAAATCTACCAAACCAAGCACAAGGAGATTGTTTAAGTCCATACAAAGCCTTGTGTAAACGACATACCACATTCTCCCCCTGAGCAACAAACCCAGGTGGTTGCTCCATGTAGACCTCCTCAACCAGATCACCATGTAAGAAAGCATTTTTCACATCCAACTGATGAAGGAGCTAGCCAAATCGTGCAGCCAGTGAAATAAAGACACGAACAGATGGTATTTTGGCTACAGGAGAGAAGGTGTCATCATAGTCGACACCATAAGTTTGAGTATATCCCTTCGCAACTAACCGTGCCTTTAATCGATCAAGAGTGCTGTCCGGGTGAACTTTAACAGTAAAAACCCATCGACAACCAACAGGTTTCTTATCAATAGGTAAGGAAGTAAGCTCCCAAGTTTGGTTCTCCATAAGTGCTTTCATTTCATCCTCCATAGCACGACGCCAACCCGGATGAGCAAGAGCTTCAGCAACACTGGTAGGCACAGAAATAGAAGACAACGACGAGACAAATGCAGAGAAGGTGGGAGATAAACGATCATAGGATAGAAAATTAGAAATAGGATGACGTGTACGGACACAATCAGAAAGACTGGAATAAGCAGCATACCGATCAACAGGACGACCAACACAGGAACGTGTACCTTTTCGAGAAGCAATGGGCTGATCAGGATCAGAGGCCGGTACTGTAACTGATGGGGGAACAAATGAATCAGGTTCTGATGAAGATGTTATTGTCATAGTCGAAACTGTACTACGTCGATGATATGTGCGTTCAGCAAATTGAAATTCTGTGGATATAGCTGGAGAAATGGAAGGTGGTGTGTCACGCCTCGAACCCCATCGAGCTCGCGACATCCCGCTCCGGTCGAAATATTGCGACGTCCCAGGAACGCCGCCGACCCAACCCAAACATCAGAGTTAAATCGCGGCGGAAGCAATCAAAAATCCCGGACAATAAAATTGGAGAACACCAAGAAGGAACAAATCGACAAACCACCAAGCATATATTACACTTCCAAATATTTACATCATCCGCCAATACAAACCACAAAATAATTTATAAGCACACCGAACTATAAACTCCAAACCACCAAATTATTAAGATCAGCTCTCTAGATCAGCACTATCCAAAAAATGGGGCGCATCCTCCTCCCAGAACTATCCCCTACGCCCTCTCGAAGGCGTCCACTCGACTCACCGTCCTCGGCATCACCACTTGAATCCTCCGCGCTGCTCGCTCACCCGACGACTCCGAGTCGACCTCAACCTCGACATTCAGGCGGGGCTCTGAAATGGTTTGGTTGAAACAACCATGAGATCACATCTCAATAAGTCACAACCTAAGCCCCACCTAGGCTATCACGTAATTCCAGACACATCCAAACGCGCAACCAAACAACCACACAACCAGCAATCAAACATTCACACATACCTGGACTCTCTGCATACGCACCATGCCCGTTAGCCCACAATCCCAACATACAATTCTTGCACACATGCCATCATACACTTTCCATATATCAATACACACGCCAATCATACCACAGCAGTACATCACAGCCGCGCGCGTGCCTCGATTATAAAGCAAAACCTACTTGGGCACGTCCCATACCATGCCTAGCAGATTTTACCCCATAATCGCGCACTGCATTACGCGATACAAACACACTCGCACACCAACTCACACCACACGTCACTTTCTCAAACCTCGCACCTCAAGCCAATTCCCGCTCATTCTCAACCTTTCCACCACTATCGCGCCCGCGTAAAACGCATCAGGCCAACGGTCTTCTGACCTCGTCAGGCATCGACACCCCGTCGGGCCGGGCATCGTCACCTCGTCAGGGACGGCATCGTCCTGCGTAAACGAACACGCCTCAGGACGGAATCCTACACACACTTTCCTTCTACCGCGCCCGCGTAAAACGCATCAGGCCAACGGTCTTCTGACCACGTCAGGCATCGTCACCCCGTCGGGCCGGGCATCGTCACCTCGTCAGGGACGGCATCGTCCCGCGTAAACGTACACGCCTCAGGACGGACCTCACCCCGCGTAAACGTACACGCCTCAGGGTCTTACTTTTCAAACCAATCCTACATTACAGTACCTTCGTTCCACTCAAACCACATTTGTCACACGGCCACACCTACACACTGCCAAACACGCACACCTCACACACATTTCACAATTTCACATTCTCGTCACACGAACACGCCACCCAATCACACATTCTTGGCACGCGAATACAATACGCGAATGCACTATCACACCACCACATCTCACGGCCAAACACACACTGCATATCACCAATCCACATTTAGCCCAAGCATAATCCAAATCAGCCCACGATCACAAATCACACAACCACATACACAATTCAATTCATAGCATAATTCCCACTGATTGATTGCACAATTCAACCCCAATCCAGTCACAACATCACGGTCCTACCCAAGCTTTCTATACCTCAAATTTTCGTCGCCAAATCAGTCCACAACCACCAAATAACCAGTCTCTCAATTCAGCCCCAAACAGCCCCTAAAACAGTCACAAAATCCCCTAAACCGAACCCTAAACAGTGACCGGAATCCCATCAAAATAAATAGTAAACGAACTCCAAAAATTCTAAATTTTGGATATGTCGCAACAAACATCCCGATAAACATTTCTTATGAAGAACACGAAATCCGGTTCAATCTACAACCATGCCTTTTTGTCCCTCAAAATCAGACCAAAATCAGTTCGCTCTAACAGACTATTTTGTCATCAAAATACATTTATTTCAACACCAAAATCACCTTGAAAAGCTTTGAAATTTTTATATGTTATAACTAAAAATGTCCCCAACAGGTTTTGTGAAGGAAGTATTTCGAGAATAGGCCTGGAAAAATTCATAAAAATTCGAACAGACCCGAAGGTCGGGTGAACAGTAAATCGGGCAGTTTTATTTCGGTCCAAAGATGGACTTCCGAATGGCATCAAATGATTTCCAAAAATTCCCAAATTAATATATGTTATACGTCAAAATGTTGGAAACAACTTTCATGAAGAAAACTTCCTCAAATTCGACCCTCAAAATTTTCTACAAAAATAGCAAACCGGGTGGGTACAGTAACCGCGAATCCGCGATTCACCCCGAACCTCACGGATTCAAGCCCGAATCGATTTCTACCGAATTCCAACAGCCAAAACTCATTTCCCGACGTCTAATCCAACCTGCAACAACCACTAACAGTCATACTCAGCCACCAATAGCCATGATTAACCACCAATAATCATGATCAATACCTTAATCACCCTCTAAATCCTCTAAACCATACCCGAACGAGTCCGAAAATACCCGACGTCCTAAATAGGGATTAGATCGCGACTTACCGGACTCTAGACTAACTCGGCTAGAGCGGGAAGGTGGAACGGCTGGCCGGCGTGGCTCCGGCGAAACTCCGGCGAGAGAAAAAAATGAAGGAAAATGGAGAGAAAGTGGAGAGAAAAGGTGGGAAAATGGGGAGAAAATTTCTGAAGAGGGCTGGTCTGCACGTGAGAGTGAGTGAGGAGAGAGAGAGATCAGCCAACTGGGTCAAATAATTTAATTAGGGGTGCCATGTGTCAAGCTTAGGTAAAAAGGACTAAAATGCCCCTAATTAAATGGTTCCTATTCATTCTTATCTAAAAAGAGAGGGGCAAAAGGGTCAATGGTCCCCAAGGATGCAG